TTCCTCTTTGGGGTGCTTCAGGGGTGAAGGAAAATGGGGAATCAGAAAATGAACAAAATCGGGGTGCAAGATGTGAAACTCCCAAAGAATCAATAAAGAAGTTAAATTAAAAAAAAATAACAGTACCCTTTATATTACTACACAACTTCTACAAAAGCACACACTAAAAAAATTGCTTATTTCTTAACTTCACTAACCACAATTAGTATGTACTTCGTTAAACTGAAATATTAGTACTGTCGTTCAATTAAGATTTAAATGTATATCCCATTAGTGATAGTGAAAACTGTATATTCCCAGAGTTACTGCATGTAAATATATTTTAATATTAAATTTAATAATAATAAAAATCCAGTTTCATAACTTGAGTTTACCAGTACTTTTGTTAAAAGAGTACCTCTTACTTTGAAATTAATCTAATTTTTTCATATGGCCACTACAATGTTGAATTGTTTAATTTGTAGTGAATTGATTTTAATATCTAATGAATTGATTTAAAAGATTAATGGTAATATTACTATTGTCCACTTAAATCTAAAGGAACACAGTCATATAAGATTTATAATGTTTTATAATATAAAGATTATTTAAAGTGAGCATTGCTTATTGCCTACAGCAAAGACAGAGAGGACTTAGAAAAGCATCAGCAAGCAATTAAATTTGAAACTAAAATTATAAAATAGCATGGTATCTCTGCCAATTTTACTTCACCTACTTAAGAAATATTATACAATGGAACTGTAACTTGCTGACTTCTAAATACCAATCCATCTTTGTGCTCCTTCGTGACAGTTCTTAAGAGCAGTATATCATCCAAATGACAAAATCGATCTTTTTCCATAGCTCAACCAGAATTTCTAGGCTGTTCTTAAAGATGAAAAACAGACTCCACTGGTCGTCAGGAAAGCACTTGCAAATATACACTCTTCTCGCACTCAATAAATAGAGCAGTCTCAGTACATCCAAAAGACAGCAAAGGCATCCTAGGCTTGTTTTCTCTGTACTATAGAGATACCCCAGGCACATCAATTAAAGCAGTGGCGGCTTTCACATACATCTGATGGATATCCTGTCCCAGGAAATCCAGTGCTTACACAAATTCCCACATAGCACTACTGCCAATAAAAATGGCGACTCTACTAATTCTTCAAAACAGTGTCTGTTTTTGCTCTTTTTAGCTTTGTTCTAGTACTCTCATGTGTGCCCACGCAGTAATATACTATTAATGATCTTGCCTTCATTTAAAAAAATCATTATTCCTATCTGTATTTATACTAGAATTTCAAAATAAAACAAAAATATAACAACAATTATTTGTATTTGGGAAAATTCATGGCTGTTTGAATACTACAAGTGAGAGTGTCTTTGTGACAGAAACTTTAAATATGGATCAAAAAGGTAGGCTCAAATCTAAACTTTATAAATATCTAAATCAATGATACTTGAAACTTTAAAGTAGAAGGTGATCCGGAGGAAAGAACAAAAGAAAAGCCATGAAAGAAAAATGGGCTTTAGTTTCAAGGACATTTTAGAAGCAACTACAGTAGCATAATATTCAAGGCTGAAATTCATAATAAAAATAACAGTCTTCTTTGACAATGTAGAAATTCACAGTCTCAAAGAAGAAAGCCAAAGCTATGCAAAGCAATGTGCTGCTAATAATAATATTATTAATATTATTATTGCTAATAATAACAGCTGACATTTAAAATATCACAACCCAACCAGTCTATAACCAATCAGCTTAAATGAAATAGCTGAGATACATCTTATAGAATAAAAATTGTCTCCCAATGAAAAATAAAAGTCGGTCACCTTTTCAAGGCCCATAAAACTTTTATTACAATAGCACTGTAATTGTAATATAACTGACAAGAAAGCCATGCAATATTCTAAATAGTAGACGTGCAGGTTTTCTCTGGCTATGAGAAAAATAGAAGAAAATGAGAAATGAGAAATAATAATAAATATTTTTGCAAAGAAATGTAAATCTTCAGAAAAAGGACAACATACAACTGCAAAGCCAATTAAATTATATATCAGAACCTGCAGGAAGGGATATATGATGATTTAAGCATTTATGCCAATACATCCACAATATTAGAATGAAGTGTCTGAGAATGAAGAGTGTAGAGAACAGAAAAGAAATTGATATACCCTATATTACTATCAGACTTGCAAAAGAACAGTACATGTATTAAAGAAGTACAACACAGGCTTTTCTAAATTACAAAAGCCCCTTGGCCTACAGTATAAATCACAGCTAATTATCTGACCTAACACCAGTCAGTAATTCACAATGAAAAGATAACAGGCAGTCAAAAAAAAAAAAGGATTTTTATAAACTCCATAATAAGTGAAAATTTTAAAGAATTTTAAATAACATCACTTAAAATGTGCTAGCATTTATTACCAGTGCATAGACTGGCTTTTTGGAGCCTGTTTCCTAAGGAGGGATACTTTGCTCAGCGGGGAGGGGCTTGTCCTGTTCTCAATTTGATAAGCCAGGCTTTGTAGACTATCCATGGGAGACCTTACTTATCCTTTCTCAGGAAGAGATGGGAGATTAGGTGGTGGGAAGGTGTGGGGTTTAAGCAAGAGGAGGGAAGGATGGGAGAAACTGTTGTATGTAAATTGAAAAAAAAACCCTTTCAAATAAAACATTAAAAAATGTGCCACATTTAGTGAAATTATAGATATAGATATGATGTGGTAGCTAAAGTTGATTAGCAACTGGACAGGATCAAGATTCACCTATGAAAGGAACTGCTGGTTATATCTGTGAGGAATGATCTAGAGAGGTGGGGATGCCTGAGAGGGATGCTCCTGATTAAGATAACCAAGATAAGAAGAGCCATCAAAAATTTTGGAGGATCTACTAATAGATCCTATTGCTGAAGAAACAACACACCTAAGTCACAGAATGTGAAGAAAACAAGAAGATAGTCACATGTAATCTAACTCCTTATTGGCTATCTTTTATCGTGTTAGAAAGTGTTATGCATGCTACTGAAGAAAAAAAGTATTCATTAGTTCATCCAATTGTGAAAAATTGTAACTGAGTTACAATAATGACTGTTCTGGCCAGATAAGACCTCTGGTGCAGTAATGACACAAATGTTATGGGAGTAACCAACTACTTTCCGATAGAATCTAAATTATTTTCCATGAGCTGACCACCTGATACCATAAAAGAGATTACAGACCTGTGGCTAGATTGGTCAGAAGAGAACTTATTACTAAAGGGATACAATAATAACTCTATTCTTATGACTTATTGTTGTCCTCATAGAGCCTCTGCTCTTTCAATGCTCATCATAAAAGCTTCTTGCAGGAGATGCCAATTAGCACAGGAACCCTCAATTTGTCAACTTATAGAGATGAAGAGACTGTGGAGTGCTCAGCCCTAAATAGGAAATACATATCACACTTCTCCCAAAAGCTCAGAGCCAGAAAGACTATAAGAGCCACGGACAGGAGATAATATTAAGGAAACAGTATTTTCCAGGAAAAACACAGCAGGTGCACATAGAAACTCACCGTGATTGCAACAGTATGCACAAGCTCAAACCAAACAAAAATCACACACCGATGGGGGAAGGTGGGCATGAAATTCCAGAACCAGCTCCGGAGCTATTGACATTGGATAGCTACTAGGGAAGGGAGATTCAGTGATTTTTCATAATGTATCTCCTGGTAGGTTGACAATATAGCAGGAAAGAGCCTACCCCAGGACTAGGTAGATGACGAACAGCATCTGTGAAGAAGTCCTTTCAACGCAGCTGAAATCCAAGTTGACCAAACCTTCCTATCAGGCTTGGGGGAGCAATTTTACTGACGCGGCAAGGGAATCACATGTACAAAGCCAGGAGGATTATGTCATACATAGGTTTTGCCGCAAATGATTGCAAGAGCATAGCAACTAAGACGATTGCTATAGATAAAGGACTTCAAGATTTTGATAAATGAAAAATGTTTATGAGCCATGCTTTTATTCAAATAAATGTGATGCTTCTTGAGAAAATAAGAATATAGGATCACATATTATTGGTTCATGCAAGGAATCATTACTCGGTTTACTGGGTGCAACAATATTCTGTGGTTAAGTTAAAAAAAAAAAAACATCCCTTTACAAAAACTGTTTTTTCAAACATAAAGACATAGATTTACATTTAAGGATTCTTTTAAAAACAAAAACAGAAATAAGGAAAACTCAGGCAAGCACTGAAAATATGTAATGGACATGTGCAGTTTCTGTTGTATCATTCTATTTTCACAAATGCTTTAAAATTTCCCATATCAAAGGAAGAAAAAGCAAATATAAGCAAACGCACAGAAGGAATGTCGAGAAATCTCAGTAGAACCTGACCTGCATGGACTTAACTCCTCAACATACTCCACTCCCACTAAATACATACTGCTCTCCCACTAAATGCATACCACTCCCACCAGATATGTCTATGCCAGTTAGGATTAATAGTGACTATGATGGAAGAGGAGGTAAGGTGATATCTGTGGGGGTGAAGCAGACATTTAGCTATTTGTAGAGCTATCAGAGCCAAACTTTCATCAAGTTCCCCAACTTTTGACAAACCTTGACTCTTTATTAACTGTTCAGTCCTTAACAGGGGTCCTTCAGTATCTGACGTTAAATTTGCAAAAAAAAAAAAAAAAATGTGAAGTATTCTTTATCCTCTCCTTCAGTGACTGGGATTACAAGTAGGTCCCCATATTCATGCAGTGTTTAAATGGGTTCTCTGACCCAACCTCAATCCTAAACTTGAACTGCAAGCATTTAACCCCTGAGCATCTCCCTCACATCTTCCCAGGATTGTTTACAGGGGCTCTGGAGATCAGACTAAGGAGTTCATGCCTGCTGGTCAACACTTTACCAACTGTGACATCATCCCAACCCTTGGAGAGGCTAATTTGAAAATGAATGAATGAATAAAAAATACAATTATGGAAAATAAATGCTGAAATATTAAAATTGATCTTACTGATTCGAGTGATTTTGTTATGTGAAAGTTCGAGGTTTTGTATACTCGTGCATCCATCCACACCATGAATAGACGTCAGAAGGTTATTATTAAGAAGAAGGACACAGAGATTTTCAAGATTTTCACAATTGATAGTCTCAATGTGGTTTTCCTAAAGCAGAGAAAGAGCAAATACAATAATTTTATCTCAATATTTTATCAATATAATACTTAATCCTTTCAAAATATTAAGGTTGAGATACAATGTCTAAATCGACACATAAGTCTCTAATTTCTAGACTAATCAATCATTCAAATAACTATACTCTGAAGAAGAAAAATTAATACACAAAGAAGTAGCTATTTTTACATAGGATTAATAGTCTTTAAAAATATATAAGAAAATACAACAAAATATTTGAACAACCTAAATAAGCACAGTGGAATATTAGTCAGTTATGTTGTTTGTGTTTTCAGATGGGAAAGGTTGTGGTGATTTACTGAGCCCATGCTCACCATGATTCCTGAGTGGATGGGGGGGGGGAACTTCTCATTTTACTGTGCATATCTCTGACTTGTAAGGACGATGCTTTCACAAGTGTATCTGAGGAAGGGCACAGAGAAGCTGCTCGTCCACCATGCAAAGTTTATGAACTGATGGCATAAACTAATGAGATTCTGTGGTCTTTAGGATGTGAGCCTATTTTCTAATCAAAAGGAAGACACTGGGTGGCAGATTGTGAAGGAACATGAGGTGGAAAATCTCGTAGAAACCGGACAACCCAGTATCGGCACGCATGTGGTTCCTTCCCACATGTACTCACAGATCAGCCAATGAAACAGTGGGTGGCATGACATAGGAGCTTGATGACTGGATGAACGTCCACTCTTGGAAACAAAGAACCCCTTAACAGTTACAAAATAGTCTAACCTTTGAGACCTCCTTATCAATAGCCAAAAAAGTAGGCTTTTTGGATCTTCTCAACCCAGCTAATATGAGAAAATTATAAAAGAGACTAAGTTACATGGTATAAAATGTTCAGCCAAGCTTGGCTGCAGAATCACAAGAAATCACATGATGCTTTTATAATATTATTTTAAAGATTGTTGTCATTTGCTACAGTCACCACAACATTTGAAAAGCAAAACCATTCATTACTGGCTCAGAATATCCTCAGCCTATCTACTCAGTCTCCTTAGGGCCGTGGTGCTTGCTTTAAACCTCATGCATCAGCTATTTTATTGCTTCTTCAAAATCATCATATCTGAAATCAAAACATGCAGCCAGTTAGTATCTATTGTATGGCAAATGTTAAAAACAAGCAACTTGCCTGTGCATCAATGTATTTAAGGTTTTTGCAGTGGTTCAGGCCATGCAGAGAAGTTAAGCCACAGCGTCGGAGGGACAGAAGCTGAAGATTTGGGCACTCTGCCAGTGTAGAGAGGCTACAGCCGGGCAAATCCTGAAATGTAATGGCTGTGACCTAGAGATTTCAAAGAGACCGTGATGAGTGACACTGTGGAACAGCACAATATAGATTAGCCTTGCAGGGTTCTCAAAAATTCCCCTAAGTAATTGTGTATGTAGACTCCTACCTTTTTTAATAACTCAATTTTATCCTACCTATCTGGTCTCATTTCCTTGCAACATAGCAAGATAACTCATGCATTCATTCACAATCATTTCAAGTTGAAAGGTAAACGTGAAAGCAATGTGGCAATCCCTTATTAAGTTTCTCCTTAATTTTTTAGCAAATTTTTGTTGTTTTCAGGCTTTGAGATACTTCTCTTTGCATACTATAGCATAAAGGTCTATGCTATGTGTCTAACAGCAGAGTTGAGATTCCTGGATCTCTGACAGGGACAAACATTGATGGAGATACAACATTTGGTTAACCAACAAAAGTAATAACATATTTCTTACACTTAAGTAAATAAGGATTCTACTTTCAAAATCATCTCAGAGTATACTGAGTATTCATTATCTAAAGCAATTCACGTAACCAATTATCTTTCAAATTTTTAGGAACGAAAATATATCATCCACTTAAGTGACAATGGCAAATGCACTTCTTATTGAGTTTGAATGCAGACAGATAAATTCTATAATTAGAAAGTTGGCCAGGCACTAGAAAATGAAAACAATTAGACTCAGAATTGAATAACTCAAAATTTGACAATTACAGAAAGCTATGTAATAATGAAGGTAAAATGGCCGTGACACAATTATTCTGCCTTATTTGATAACATGCCTATTTCAGTAAACTATGTAGTCACAATCAGATTTTACTTACTTATGAGGAGCAAGCTCTGTAATGTCTGTGGTTTTATTTCATTACAATTTATGAATGAAAGTTATGTCGGCACCTTATTATGGGTAGTTCTACAATATACTTTTCACTTTTTTAAACATTAAAAAAAAATTCTAAAGCCGGGCGGTGGTGGCGCACGCCTTTAATCCCAGCACTCGGGAGGCAGAGGCAGGCGGATCTCTGAGTTCGAGGCCAGCCTGGTCTACAAGAGCTAGTTCCAGGACAGGAACCAAAAGCTGCGGAGAAACCCTGTCTCGAAAATTAAAAAAAAAAAAAAATTCTAAGATACAGGAATGTATCCTATACCCCAACCTAAAGTTTTCTAAACTTATAACATCAAAATAGTGTTCATATTTATTGTTTGACATATACACTATAGAAGTTACATGCTTTAAATCCCTCAAATTCAAGTAAATACAGAATTATTAATCATATGTTCCCATTACTATTTAATTAGCTTGAAAAACATCAGTTGGAGCATAAGGGAGTTTGACTGAATGGCTCCAAAATTAAAAAAATAAATTGTTTCAACTTGTGGCAAAACTTAAATATATTTATAGCAGTCATATTTTCCTTTCCCGCTATGAACAATATAAACACATATTTGAAAGCTTTGTGTCTCAACCTCTTTGGTCAGAGGATGAACTGTTCCATCTATGGAACCTATTATTAATTCACTGTCATCATAATTATTAATATTTTTCATTTAATCACATATTTTCTCAAATATTTTATATAGAGAAAGCTTATATATGTGTGTGCATATATATATATTACTTAAGATTGCTATAATCTTTTAGTGATTTAATTATGAATTATCCTGATGTTTAACCTTTACCCCCATCACTTTAAAAAAAAAAAACCTTCCAAAGGTGATGTTCATGGTCAGGCTAGGCACAGAGTTGTGAAGCTAAATGACTAGAGAATCAAAGTAGGAACGTTACAGTGGATGAATGAAACTACTTGTCAATCAGAAAAAATACAGAGACAGTCTGGAAACAAAAATAGTATTTGGTAGTATCTCAGTATTTCCATGACACATTAAGACATATTTTTCACTTTTATAAAATACATTTGAAACTTCAAAGAAAAATGTAGTTTAGGTCAGTAGATTTAGTGACAGAGAAAGTATGCTAGAGTCCTGGGGACCACAATTAATCGAATCAGCCTATCTACCAGTTCGAAGCCGTCACTTCAGAGACTCGAATAATAGGTAATATTTGCTCAATCAATTAATCAAAAGACCTAGTTCACATTTTAGGAGATGCTCAGATGACAAAGCATCACTCTAAAAGATATAAAGAGAGCTAATTTCCCTTTTGAGGAAAACTGACAGGAGTTCTCAATAAAGAACAGGGCTTGGCTAGAAGACACATCCAGGAGAAAGGTCAGTACTCTCCTCATTGGTAGGGAAGAGACAAGCTAGTAAGAAGGACCGATAACTTGGTTTCTCTAACTTAAGCTTTATTTCCAAAGCAGTCCCCACTAGAAGTGTCACTGTAGCTAGCTCTCAGTTATGCACATGAGGGGAGCTTTTGCAAGTAATGGTCACAGTTATCATAACGAAAAGTCTGAAACAAACTTGGGGAAAGAAAACTGTGGAAAGAATGGGCCCAGAAACAGCGTCATCCAAGTAAAAACTGAAAAACCACAGAGATCTGTATGTAGCTGCACAGAGCTGGTAGCCATGGTCAATGACTAAGAAAAAGACGAAACTTCACTCAGTAACTTCTAACTCTTGTTTCTTATGTTGATTATCTTCACCTGAGATGTCTCTTCTGAACCTCATCACCAGATGGAAATGGTGGAATAGCCCTGCAATTCCAAGCTCAGAGAGTTGAGGCAGGAGCATAACACATTTAGTTCACCAAGGCTGCACAGTGAGCTCAAAGCTAGTCTGGGAATTCCATGAGACCCTGTCTCAAAATATTTTTTTTCTTACCAAAGGGCAAGGCATACAGTTAAGTTGTAGGGTTCTTGCTAGCATAGGTCAATTCTGAATACACAAGGAAAGTAAATCAACAAACCCAATTAATTTATTTTCCTTTCACGGAACACACAGGAATCTTATTTACAGCAGCCAGAATTTATGGAGCGTTTCTTTACTTATGTTCCATAGAGACAAAGGCTCCATTTTCTGTTCAGCTCACCAATAATTATTGGTCAAATATATTAGACAAATGAAAAACTTCCAAGTGAATAAAACTTTGTTTGTTTATTAGTATTTGTCTGGGCAACTGTCTATATAAAAAATGGAATGTAGTCTGGAGAGTAGCTTGATCAGAGGACACTTGAGTGGCATACACAAGGGCCCACCCTAAAGCAATAAAAAGGACAAGCATTCATAGTACTGTAGGCTTGTGATCCCAGCACATGGGATATGAGGAAGGTGTACATGAGTTTTAGGTCTGTGTGTGTGCCATGGCAAGTGGCTGTCAATTTTCTCTTTAAATAAATGTTAAGTCATAAAAGGCAATGAAGCGATAAAATATTTTAATGAAAAGGTCCTGTAGAAGATCTGGGGTCACTTGTGAATAGCTTACTGTCTATAGGCTTGTTCTGTTATATAAGAGGACATTCTTCATCCACCCTCATGATGCAGGGACTTCTGTTCTCTGAGGTAGCTAATCTTCAGAACCACGGTCCCTCATAGAGATCTTGACTCAGGGTGAGGATCCAGTGACACCTATCAGATTATTAGTAATTGTTCTTCCATTCCATTTTGAGGACATAATGCCAGAAGTAAACCTCCTACTCCAACTGAGACACAAAAGGGCTTTGATTTGGACACGTGTTGGAGCTTGCCTCCACACTGATGGATGGAACTTGTATCTCTTTTCTGCGTATAATCAGCTTCCAGATGTGATAAGTAATCTTAGGGCCCAGTGTCTCTAGATATTCTATAGCACAAAAGTAGAATTCCAAAGGTCTCTTGAAAACCAGGGTTTTTATGATCTTAAATATCTACCCGGATTGTATCTAACATTAGTTGCCTGGAATTTGATTTTTAGCTTCAGTGATGGTCGGATCTCACCATGTACAATCTACCCTAAGAATCAAGTGATAGAAGGCAGCTATAAACGTAATTCCTAAAATTAAAATTATAAAATTTATAAAATAAAAATTTTACTAAATATATTTGACTTTCAAGCCTCAGTTAAATAAAAATTGTAACTTGTTTGAAGCATTTTATAATCAAAATTCCTTATACATAGGTTTCTATGTCAAGTTCGTTTGATGTCGTGTTCTCCATAAAATAAAATTAGTAGCACTTAATGAAAACTATGCTGTTTCCAGCCTCCGTATATTGCAGTTATATGGCATATGGCTACAGAACATTGCCACATGGGAAATCTAGGGCCTGCCATCCTGTTAGTACCTCTTTCACTGCAGTAACCATTTTCATATGAATGTAGGCAGAGTGTCTGCCCCAATCTGGACCAAACTCCTAAACAGCAAAAGCACTGTGTCTTTGTATAATTCCAACCATAATTTCCAGATGTCCCTACAGGGCCCTGAATCCGGATTCAAGACACTGAAAAGTATAAATCAAACCTCTTTAGACTGCTGAAGTGGGTAAGGTCCTGAAAAACTGTACTTGAGATCTTAAAAATAGAAGACCACTGAAACAAGGCAGCGTGTCTTTCGTAATGTCATCTACGAAGAGGCATAATTCTTACACATGAAACCACTGAAAGGCAAAATCACATTTTATAAAATTAACTTTTCATTCAACATAAAAAATATTATTGCTAGATTATAAATACCTGCTGTAAAGTCTTCCAAGGGCCATTCTGAAGAATGGCTGATGTATCCAAAGGAGGCATTGTATCTGCTGGACATTTCACAAGTCTCTTTCTCTTAACGATTTTCTTGAGTTGATTTTGCTCAAAGATTTCAGACCAAGGTTTAAATGATTTCATCCAAGCTAATCTCCTTTCCTCAACTGAAGATAAAATGGTTATCTGTGACACAGAGCAGGCCAGGACACCGTCGTTTTCAGCCTTAGTTTGCTTCCGTTGCTCGGGAGCATCTTTAATCTCAGCTTTAGGCAAGTCCTCTTCTTCAATGTCCAAGGGGCTATTAGCACTGTGACTGCCAGCCTCTATACTGAGAGCCAGTTTGCTTGAGACAGAGCTCTGCTGGTTTGTCTTGTCTTCTGTATGTGCCAAGGCATCTGAGGTTATGACGACAGAATCGCAAGTCAATACATTATCTATTAAGATTTCCTCAACTCTTCCTGATTTTAGATCAATTTCTTTGTCATCTGGCATCACATTTCTTTCTATAGATTCTGGATTTTTAAATAATAGTGATAGTGGGTCTTTTTGCATGGGAATATTTGAAGAATAATTCTCATGCACTGATCCATCTTGCTCTGTGTCCGTTTTTTCTATCTTTTCAGCCAATCTCTCTTGATTATCTGTTATGATTTCCCGTTCTCCATTATTCACCTCTTCACTCATTTCTTGTATGTGTTCAGACATTATTTGGGTTTCTTGCCTCTCCGTTGTGGCCTGCTCCACATTTTCCTTATTTTGACTTTGAGGCTTTAGTTCTTGTTCCTGGCATTGTGCATTGACGTTTTCCTTCATGTCTGAGTTTTTCAATTCATTTTTTTGGTCTATATTTTCAAAGTTAATTTCTTGGTTAGCCAATTTTTCTGAACATTGTTTCTTTGGTAAGTTCTCACTTTTTTCATTCATTTTTAATTTTGGTACATTGTCATTTTTTTCAATCATTTTTAATTTGGGTAAGTTTTCCTTTATTTTTAATTTTGGTAAGTTTTCATTAATTTTTAACTTTGGTAACTTTTCATTTTTTTCATTTGTTTTTAATTCTGTCAAAATTCCCTGGCTTGGTTTCAATGTTGCTCCTACTGATTCTGTCAGTACAAGCTCTTTATGCACATTTTCGCTCTTGGTTGACTGCTGAACCAGACAAACATCTTCGTACTCCTTTGAGTTGGTGTTCGCTAATTCTTTGGATATAGCATCCTTCTCCTTTGACATATTTGTGACAGCTAGCTGCTTGGTGCCACTGCCTTCCTTCTTTAAAGCACAGGTAACGACTGTCGGATGGTGGGCATCTTCCCTTGGTCTCATTTTTTCCTTGTTTCGTTGTTCCTCTCTTTTTTGTCTCAGGATGTTCTTTTTCTCTTCGTATTCCCTTTCCCGCCTCCTTCTTTCCTCGAGCATCTTCTTCTTTCTCTCCTCCTCAATCCTCCGCCCCTCTTCAATTATTTTTCTTCTCTCTTCCTCCTTCTGTCGGATCTTTGCTTCCTTCTCTTTCCACTCCCGTTCTTTCCTTTTCTTATTTTCTATTTGCTCTCTTATGATTGGGCTATATTTTCGGTAAGTTACAAATGCTCTATATGTGGCTTGAATTTTTACAGCTGCATTATACTGCAATTTTAGCAACCGTGCTTTTTCTTTTTCCTGTAGCTCACTTAATCTTGTTCTTTCCTCCTCCATTTGCAAATGCAAGTTTCTAATGAGTTCCTTAAATGAAGTAAGATAAATAGTAATGAGCGTCAGCTGAACTGGCAATTTTGTAAGTAGATTAAAAGTAACACAAAATCTAAAACCAGAGTCAAATTGCTATAAAGCTCATTGAGAAAAAAGTCACTTATTTTATAGGAAGCTAGACATTTTTAATATATAGATGATTGGGTCATATTGGGAAGTTGATAATACTCTTTTAAAGTATGAGCCAATGAGGTAACCAGTAAGGTATTGTCTGCAGGTAGAAAGCATTTGATATCAAAACGATAGAGGAAACACAAAGGAAGAAACAAGCCAAAGTCCATGGGACTCAACTTCCTGACATGGATGATGTAATAATGGAAACTAAAACAAAAGTAAAAAGACACAAGTAATTCAGCAAATTTTAAAGAATATTAGCCAGTAGGGCAAGTCAACAAGTAGGAGGAATAAACTTTACATACTGGATTAAGTCCTCAACATAAAGATAAGCTTTATGAATAATATATACACTAGAATAATTTTTCACTCAAAAAAAGAGAAATCAGGAAAAATGAAAAAGGAATGGCTGGGTGGCTGATGGTCTAAAGAAAAACATTTTAAAAAGCTTTTATTTATTTCAAATCAATATATATATAGCAATATTTATATATATATATATGCAGATAAACACAAAATAAAGAAATAAGAAGGATAAACACAAGAGACTAACATATGATCAGTAGGCATCCCAGAAAAAAGATATGAGAATAACTGAAGGGCTAAAACTATTATAAATTATTTTTGTTTACAAATACAAATATACAATTTCTTGTATACTAATACACATACAGTCATAGGAAAAACAGAAGAGTTAACTTTACAGCCTATCTCTTAACAAACATATGACACATTTACACAGATACCCAAAGTACAGAAATCTCCATGCAAGCATGTATTTTTTTTTTCATTTTTAACCACTTAGCAAAATGTTTGACATATAGTTAAAAAAAAGGCTAAATCTTTACAGGCCAATATATAATGTGAAAAATCTTAAAGCTTCAAAGAATATCTGGGTTAACCATAAAATTTGCAATCACTAAAATAAATAAATATGCAATCTAATCATATCATTGAATTTTCAGGAGTCAGAAGAAATTGGTCTGGATTTTAGGCTCAAAGTAAAAACTAAAATAAAATATTTTTTTGCTTTGTAAAAATTGGAAAAATTTCCTATTCAAAACTTATTTTTATGATCCAAAAATATATCGCAGTAAATATCAAATGAACACAAAACAGAGAGAGACTCAGGAACTACAGAAAACTAAGGAGAAATGAAGTCATGGAGTCACTCAATTGCTACCTTTCTTCTTTCTTAATATTACTTTTGAAGTCAGACATTAGTCTTAGTTTTTGTTCATATGTTTAAGGTAATACATGTTGTTACTATAGATTCTTCCAACATTTCCTTGTTCCTTGACTTGAATTTTATTAATTGCACTACTCTATTTCTGCATGTCATTTTCACTACTTGAGCATCACCATCCTCGAGTATTTATTTTAGAACTGTATTTAAAAACAACCCCCGTATGACTATTATGCCTTTACTTATCTCTTATGATTCACAAACTCTCTCTTCTTTCAAGATTACTATCACAGTATTAGATCTTTTCACAAGTGTTTTCCAGGCTGTTTTCTATGTTTCCTATTTTGTTGTCCTTTCTGTTCACCACTTTGGACATTCCTGCTAAACTCTCTTCTGCTTCACTAATGCCCCATTATATATTGAATAGTGTGTCACATTTATTCATGAAATTTCAATGTTAACATTGAATTTTCATAGAACATATATTTACTACTTTGAGATAGATTATAAGTTTCTTTTAAACATCATTTGTTTAATTGTTCAGCTGTTGAATGAGAGTTGTGGTTGCTTTAATGGATCCATCTTATCAAACATTTGGATGCCATGTCACTTATACTTATGTATTTTCCTCTTTTCACTCAAAGGATTTTTCTATTTACATGTCTAGTGATTTTTGCATTTAAATACATATAATATAAACCTTCCTTTTCAGGAGTGTATAAAGGGAAGACTCAAAAAAAATACAAAGAAAGGAAGCCATGAGCAGTAGGATAACATTAATTTATCTATTCAGTATTGAAGATTTAAATGAAAATTTTATCTATTTTATATTGTAAATGTTTAAGTAAGGTTATAAAAACATTATGGGAGCCAACAAAAAATAAACTGAAATATTTGTGATAACTATATTACCTTAAGTTCAAAATCCTTTGATACACTCAAATAATTGTGTCAAGATACAGTAATGCTTCTTCAAATCTTCAAATATTATGAAATGTTCAAATGGAAAACAACAATATATGAAGGCAAAACAACAAATACATACCTCATGCTGTCTATATTTTTCTTTCCATAATTTCTCTTCTTGATGAAGTTCATCATTCATTTTATCCTGTTCGTGCTGAATGTAGAATAACATCAGAGTATTATTATATTCAACCATCAAGAAACATACTAATTATATCTGATTCTTTCAACATATTTATTAACAAGGATTAAATGTGAAAATCTCCTTGCATCATCAGTTATTAATAATGAAAACTTAAAATGATTAAATACTTCTTAATAATACAAAGAACTGCTGAAGGCATCACTTTTCCTGATCAAACTGTACTACAGACCACAGAACTATAGTAAGTAAAATAGCACGGTAATGGCACAGAAACAGACATGTTGATCAATGGAATCAAATTGAAGAACAGGACATAAATATACGCACCTAAACACATCTGATTTTTTTATTTAAAAAAACAGAAATACATATTGGAAAAGAGACAGCATTTTCAACATTTCATTGAAACTGGATGGCTGCATGTGGAAGAATGTAAATAAATTCATACTTAATGCCTTGCACAAAACTCAACTCCAAAGGGATCAAAGACCTAAACCTAAGGTCAAACACATTGACTCTGACAGAAAAGAAAGTGAGCAAGAGTCTTGAACTCATTGGCACAGGAAAAGATTTTCTGAACAAAAGATGGTTAGCACAGGCACTAGGAACAACAATAAATGGGACCTCATGTAACTGTAAAGCTTCTGTAAGACAAAGGACACTGCCATTCAGATAAAGCAGCAGGATATAGATGGGAAAAGATTTTAACAACCAGTCACTAATAGAGAACTAACATCTAACATCTAAAAGAACTTAAAGTCTATATCAAGCAAATAACCCAGTTTAAAAGCTGGGCTCTTATTTAAAGAGAAAATGCTCTCTTTTAGTAGAGAAAACTAAATGGCTGAGAAGCACTTTAAGGAATGGTCAATACCCTTAGTCATTAGGAAAATGTGAGTATAAACTATCTTGAAACAGTCAGAAAGGCCATATCAATAAAACAAATGACCACCCATGCTGACAAGGATTTGTGGGAATGTAATTTTTACAGCCACCTTAGAAATTTGTGTGCTGACTTCTCAGAAACCTGGGAGTCAAGATACCTCAAGATCTCTCAAGGGGCGCATACCTCAAGGACACTTTATCCTACTAATCAGAGACACCTTTGCTCACTTGCTCAACCCTGTTTGTTGGTTCTTCATACATAAGAGTCAGAAACTAGAAACAGCTTAGATGTATGCTTATGGTTGAATGGATAAGAAAATGTGGCAAATTTAAACAATAGATTATTAATCACCTGTTATGAAAATTAAATCATGAAATCTACAGGCAAATGGATGGAGCTAAATAAGATTATCCTGAGTGAGATGATAGCCTAGACCCAGAAAGACTTATGCCGTGTATTCACTTCTATTTGGAAGTTAGCTGTCAAATCTTCAACAATCAAGCTACAATTTCTAGAATCACATAGATTAGGTATAAAGTAAGGGACCAGGGGGCAGGGATGGATATAACTAGAAAGGGAAAATAGAATAGATAGTTGTGAATTGGCGAACCTGGGGCTATAATGAGGGATCTAACAGGAGGAGGAAAAACAGGGGAGCGGGGGATATGCAGACAGCTGTCTAAAATTGAGGTCATTTGAGGGGTGGTATGGTAACTTATTAAAGTAGAAGATTCCATATATATATAGAGAGATACCTAGAGATATGAAGGTAATAAAGGTATATGTGATGTAGGAGAAAGGTGAACACCAACCCAAATACAAACGCTACAATGGCAACCTGTATGCAAGATAAGCAAGTATAACAGTGGCACAAGGCTTATTGGAGTAACCAATCAATATCTGATTTATGCTAAATTTCACTCCATTAGACAAAACCCCGACTTGATGCTGCTTGGGAGGCCAAAAACTTGGGCTTAGATATGCTAGGAACCTAGAAGAAATCAAACAATGCTGTATTGCTAAAGGAATTTAGTGATAAAATGACTCCTAACCACGTTTAGACACACCCAACAATTAGAAAAGCAAATTGAACAGTCTACAGTGAATAAACGTAGCTAAAGTTAGGGGCAGGGCAGAGAATGTCACTTAAATTACTGAACTACTTTAACTTAATATGTCTTTTAGAATGTGTCATTATGGCCGTCATTGCAAAGAATACATTATATACTCAAAGGATCTGTCTTTTCCTGTTATTCAAAAGCTATGGAAAAGAATTAGATTATGTTGCAAATTTCAGATTATGTAGGATATTCCTTGAAATTCTATAAACCCCAGTGGCTTCCAAGATTAAAAGTTCACATTTGAAATTCTAATGGATCATGATCAGGCATTTCATCATCAAGAGTGATTAAAGGCCATATAGTAACTTCCTCCATTGATATCACAGCCAGACATCAGTACCTTTCAGAGGTACCTATGCTCCTAGGAAGAGTTGAAAGACACCATACCTTCTGAAGGGTTTCTAATTTTTCCTTTTCAACTTCAAACTGTTTTATCCAGCAATGTCTCTTTTCATCATCTTCTCGAAATTTCTGTTTTTCTATATCACTCTGAGCTTTGAGTGTTTCTTTATCTTTTTTTTCGAGTTCTTTTTGTTTGTCCTGCCAAGCTTTGAAAGACTTTCTACATCTTTCTTCTACTTCAAAGTATCCAAAACTCAAATCAGCATCATCTGCATTCATTCAGAGAAACATAAGTACTCTTCTTGATATTAACTTATCATACTCATTTATTTTACTATATAATTACACTGTAAAAGCATATTACCAAAGTAAATGCATTTTAAAGTGTAAATGGATATCAACTGTGATACTTTGCATATTCATGATTTCAACTGCTTACACATGGAAATTCCATTACTGTCAATAAGGAAGTCCAATAACTTTTTAAAAATATTCCCTAAAATTTAAAATAATGTTGCATTTATCTGTGCCTGTGAATATGGAGTTAAGTGACAGAGTTAAGAGATATTGTTCAGGATTGTTTTGGTTAACGGTCTTTTGTACTTCCATAAGAATTTTAAGATTTTTAAAAAATCTTTGGAGTATCACATTGAAATTTTTATGAGAATCATAGTGAATCTATTAATTGATTATGGCCATTTACATAAAGTGAGTGCTACCTACTATGTACATGGTTTCTTCAATTTCTTTCAATTTTTTTTTAAATTTTTTCTTTTTAGAATTTTGCATGTGTATGTAAAGTTGCCATTGTATGGTATGCTGACTTATTTTATGTCAACTTGATACAAGCTAAAATCATCTGAGAGGAAGAAACAGTAATTACGAAAATGTCCCCATAAGATTAGGCTGTGGACAAGCCTGTAAGGCTTTTTTTGTAATTAGTGGTGTCGATATGTGAACCCATTTTGTGTGGGGTCACCCCTATAGTTCTGGAGTCTTTAAGAATGCATGAAGAGGAAGGTATTGGGGAACCAGCCACTAAGAAACATCTCTATGGCTTCTGCATCAGCTCCTGACTCTAGGTTTCTACCATGTCTGAATTCCTGTCTTCACTTCTTCCAGTGAGAAACGTGATTAGAAAGAATACACCAAATAAACCCTTTCCTCCCCAACTTGAATTTGGTCATGGTGTTTCATCATAACAGTAGGAACTTGAACTAAGACATGTGGTGAATGAGATGGTTTCCTTCATTTCTTTCTTAGTTTGTCTGTCTTACTATCCGGGAAGGATGTTGGTTTGAGTATGTTAATATAATAACCTGACATTTTGTTAAATATGTTTGTAACCTCTAAAAGATTTCTGGTGCAGTCTTTGGGGGCCACTCATAGAATCATGTATTCTGCAAGTAGAGGTATTTTGACTTATTCTTTTCATACTTATATCCATTTGATTTTCTTTGATTGATCTAGCTAAGACATCAAGAACTATATATTAAAAGGGTGTTCAATGGAGATACTTTGACTTCTTATGATCTTAATGGGAATGTCTCAATTTTTTCTCCATTTAACATGATGATGACTATCAGTTTGTAATAGGCAGCCTTTATTATGCTGAGACAAATTTCTTCTATCACAAGTCTCAAAGATGTATTTATTATCATGGGATGCTGGAGTCATTCAAAGTTCCTTTCAGCATCAATTGAAATGATGATACAGTTTCCATCCTTGAGTTAACTTATGCACTGGTATGTATATTGATTTACATGTGTTGAAATATCCTGGTCTACCTGGAATGAAGCCAACATGATGGCAAATGACTTTTTAAAACTAACTAAAAGTTTCATATCATTTTCATCCTTACCCATCTCCCTTCCAACTCACCCCACTCTTTTCGGGTGTGTTAGTAAATTCAACTTGAAAGAATTATATTGAAAAATAATGACTTTCAAATTTTAAAAAAATGTATAATTGTATGCTTACAAGTGGCACAAAGAAAAAAAATTCAATTCACTTTGATACACAACACAATTTTTTTAAAATATAACTGGGAATATTGCCCACCTGGTAAAACATATTCATCCATGGATATGTCAAGAGGAACAGTCTCAGAAACAGAAACAGACCTGGCAGAATCAGTTAGACTTCTCATAAATTCTTCCTTTTCTATTACAGATAATATCTAAGAGGTTAAAATGGTATCTTTATTATTTAATTATTAAAGAAAGACAAAATAGAATAAAACTATGATTTTAATATTTCTAAATATTCATAATGAGAATTTTATATACTGTAAATGCTTTCAAATACATTGCTAATTATTTTTATAAGTATATTTTATTCTCATAAACTTGCTTACTGATGAATTTCTATCTTTTATATCTATGGTGATTGTTCATGTACATAGTTATTAATATATTCAGTATAATAAAAAGAGAACTATTATTTACTTAAATGTCTATTGTGCACATAGTTTTGACTAAGTGTCACATAATTATATATTCAATGTACTTTTAAATAAACAGGATGTCTGCAATGAAAAAATTCAAAATTGGTACTTCAAATCTGAGGGTTAATAAAAGGAAGCAAAATATTTTTCAAGCTGTGCTCCAATTCTTACAAAGTAGGAACAGAACTAGATAAAATAGACCAATATTATAACTGAATCTAAGAAGAAAGTCTTTCAAAGACATTCTTCATAACATATTTTGGGGGTTTCAACCTGTAAAATGCTAGACTTGACTTTGATATTTCCTGAAATTTTATTCTGTGTTTTTTTCAAAAGTAATACAAAATCTTCCACTTTTCTATATTCTCTGAGGTATTTAAAATAATGTTGTTAAAGTGCTTCTTTCACAAGAAAAACAATCAGCACTATAATATATGCATTTTCTTGATCCAAAAAATGATAAATGCAAGATCAATATTTTACCGTTCTGTGTATATGAACATTTATTTCCCAAATACTTATGATAAATCACTACCTTAATGATTGAAATTTGTATAGTTTTATATAATATGCCAGAGGATACCATGAAATCAAAGACTATTTGCTTAAAATCATCTAATTGAAGTTAATAAGCTAACTTTCAATGTAAGAAAAACAACAAATTCCTAAGTGCAATGTGAGTACTTTCATTTGGATGTCAAACACATACATACCTTCATTAACTGCTCAGAATCCGCTTTTGATTCAGCTGGAGATCCAGTCCTCAAATGCATACGACTGTTAGAAACTGTACCATAACTACAACCTAGAAAAAGGAAAAAAAATCTAATTTCAAATATTAGAATATACGTCAAAACCTCAAAACTTCTAATTACCTTTTATCTTCATTTCTATGAACCACTTTACCAGTAACAGTAACTCCACAGAATAGAGAATAATTATTAAAAAGTTGAAAGAGATTTATCATTATTTTAAAATAAAAGCAATCGTCTAAAGCACTCTATCTTGTTACCATTGTTCATATTCTAGAAGGAGTTTTATTTTCTATGCATATAGAATCATTCTTGCTTGATAATGTGTGACTCAATTCCTGAAAAGACATGGATAAGCAAATCTCCACTCAACTGAGATCGGTAAGTAACCTCACCAAAACGAAACTACATAAATCAAACTTGGTAAACCAACAGGATCATTGAGGTTATTTACATGAATATGGGTAAGTGGTTTCTTACAAAAACAGGAACGATGCAAAAATAGTTCTGTCAACACAGTTCACACCAGCATCACTGATCATCCACACAGTTCACACCAGCATCATTGAGTTCACACCACAATCACTGATCATCAGCACAGTTCACACCAGCACCACCCATCATCAACACAGTTCACATCAGCATCATTGAGGTCACACCACCCTCACTGATCACCCACACAGTTCACACCAGCATCACTGAGTTCACACCAGCACCACTGATCATCAACACAGTTCACACCAGCACCACTGATCATCCACACAGTTCACACCAGTATCACTGGTAGCTTAAGAAAACTGGAACCCTGGATCTCACTATCTGATTTACGATGGGCTCTAATGCTTGGAGTATATCTCTTGGAAGCAACTCAGTTGGTCTCAACCTCTCTGAAGAAGCTTATTGCTCTCTCCATCTCCCAGGCAGCTATGATGACCTGGAGCCTTTTCTGGGCAGTTACACTAGACAGAAACTTTACTAGGCAAGAAGGTTCACCTTAGGATGTCTTTAAGCAGTTTTGAGTTTATGTAAGTTTAAGAAATAAGGGACATAGTGTATTTCAGAAAGTTTTGAAGCTTTGCAGATGGTCAGTTTCTGAGTCCTAGGAAGCCCCTTTTTAGATATTTTGAGTCTTTTTGAACTTCCCACAGGATGGAATATTTCACATCCTTGAGTACTGAGGAGCTTCTTCCAAAATGGAGTATTTTATTTCAAAAGAAATTGCATACATACATTATATACAATGACACATTGATCAGGAATATATCAAGGCTCAATGCTATTTGCTGGAAACTAGCAATAGAATCTTCTATAATATAATGAAATCATTTTACTACACATGCTAATTTAAAATTTTAAAATTACCATGATGAATGATATTAATTTTATTTTATGAGATTTAATTGAATTTTATTTTCTTCTAATTGTAGCTTCAAATGTAATTACACCTGATTTCTTTATTCAATTAATGTATCAAATTTTGTCAGTGTTTTCTAATAGAAAACCACCCTTACAGAGAACTATTCCCATTTACTTTACCAAATACATTTTTCTTCCTTGATATTTACTCACAATCTTTCTGGCATGCATTAAAATGTAATAATTAGAAAGAAAATAACACCATTAACCATATTCTTTTATTATTAACTTTCTGTGCATGATTCAAATTATTTTTTGTCTTCATAAAACTACCATGTATAAAGACAAGCAGGCTCAGTTTCCATTTATTCACCAAGATTGTGATTAGAGCTTCAGGATAAGACTCTACAAGAAAAAACTGGTGTACTAGCATTGACTCTGCACTTCCTAATCCTAGCGAGCAACAATTTCTGCAGCAGTGCAGTTCTGTAATGGGCAGAGTTATCCTTGGGTTTTCATCCTACAGCCTATCCTTTCAGTCTTCGCAAGAATAATGCTACTGATTGTAATAGCTGGTTCTCAAAGATGGTTCTTCAAAAGAACAACTCACCTTGATGTATATGTTCTGTGTACTCACTGAAGACATCAGTGTCTTCTAAGTCCTGAAGAAAGAGAGTCTCTGCAGTTTTACTCTTGTTCTTTATGACATTGATACAGTGAAGAACTGACTCTGGCAATTCAACTAAATCCTGAAATTTGAGTAACAAAAGAATAAGAAAGATTACCAAAAATATATGTCAAATAGCACATCATTCATTTCACACCAAAAACTTTAGCCAACTATGCAAATAGGTAAAAGTGCCTCTATATAATGGGTCTATTTCAGAAAAACATATTTGCTTTAATTTTTCTTTCAATTTCCAGGCAGTTATGTGTTCCTAGAAAATTCTAAGACAAGTGAAGAAGGTTATCAAGTTATTTTCTTTTTTATTAGAGGTATTATGTTTCCAATATCAGTTCTTGATATTTCATTGATATATCACAAATATTTATTATGAAATATGAATAAAACTTTGAAATATTTAAAAAAAAATATTACCTACTACATTATGTAATTACTTAATATGCAATTATCAAATACAGCTGAATTTATGTAACATTATAGAACATCTATCAAAATACTTATGTAAATAAATTTTCAAATATTATAAATACCAAAAATATTGATAATATTATCCTACAAATTAAGTTCATTCCTATGTAAATACCAGTTAGAAAGTATAATACAAAATATACACATAAAATATTCCATACATTTAAATATATTTTAATAACAATCCCAAAACTATCAAATCCCTACATTAGTAGAAAACCTTCCTTAAGGAAGATAAACCACAGTGTGAGTGAGTGACTGGATCTATACAGACATCTGGATACAGAAAATCACATGCTTAATATTATGGGACCAAACAAAGCTTTCTCTCATATTGGGTTTTCATGAGTTAAACAAAAAGCATTTTGCCTTTGTTATAACCAATGAAATACACTGTTAGTTTTAACAATTAAGAACAAGTTCATGCACTTAACTTTCCTCTTTCAGCTACAGAAACACACTAAAATGTATGACATAATACTAAACTAGTCTTGAAAAAAAGTATTTACTCTCCTCCTATCTTCTCTGTCCTTTATTCAATCTTTTGTGATTGCTTCTGCCTGGTAACGAAGTGTTTTGAACACAAATAATACCAGTATTTATATTTATTTATTTATTTATTTATTAGTTTATTTATTTTGGTTTTTCGAGACAAGGTTTCTTTGTGGTTTTGGATTGTACATTCTGTAAAAGATAATTTCAAATCCTTGATTCTTTCATCTTGAATATTATAATTTATTTCCGTGTAATAATATTTGAATTCTACATACTCTGAAGCCAGAGTGTCACCTGAAAGGTTTATTTTGCCTTTGTGTATGAAGCAAATTTTTTTTAAATTGTTTTAGGTACATAATATTCTAGCATTTTTCTCACTTAAATTAGCTATAAAAGAAAGGATATTGTTAAATTTATTTTAAAATTAATATCTAAGTGAAGAATCTTAAATAATGGGAAAAGCAAATCTAAAATTATAGCACAATGGTAGAACATTGGCCTAATATAAGCAAAGCCATGGATGGCAAGACTAAAGGAAAAAAACCTACATAACTCACTGGATATGGAGAATTCAAAATGATGCCTGTCTACAACCTTCACTTCTATGAACGAATAATATCTGTATTACTATAATGTTCTCTGCAGATAAAGGAGAAAAGCAAATGTGAGCCCAGATACAAACTATTTGATATATGATGATGATGATGATGACCTGCTTGCAACATATGCTAGATATATACATAGGTCAGTGCCTTTCGGAGCCTCCATCAGAGAGGCTTCCTCCTGCAGTCAATGAGAAAAATTATAGAGAGGAACATCCAAAAAATATGTGGATAGTGAGAGATCTTGGAACACGCAGTCATAAATGGGATGTCTCCATTAAAGCCCTCCACCAAGAGAACAAGGAACACTGCAGAAGAGAAGTTGGAAAGACTGTAAAAGCCAGTGGGCATGGATCACACCAATTAAACAAGGCCAATGCACATAGAGACTGGCAGCATGCACATGCACATGGCCTGACCCAAATGTGCTCCCAACATTGAGACAGGGAAAAAAAAAAAAACAGTTTCCTAATCCGAAACTTATCTCTAATGAATAACCACTCTCAAATGAAAAATGAGTTCTCTATGATATTGTCCCAGTGGGGGAAACACATCACTCTTTTTTTAATATTTATTTATTATGTATACAATATTCTGTCTGTGTGTATGTCTGCAGATCAGAAGAGGGCACCAGACCTCATTCCAGATGGTTGTGAGCCACCATGTGGTTGCCGGGAATTGAACTCAGGACCTTTGGAAGAGCAGGCAATGCTCTTAACCACTGAGCCATCTCTCCAGCCCCCTAACACATCACTCTTAAGGGCAGGCCCATGCCCATCAGTACAGGGCCAGCACAAAAGATACTCAATGGCATCTTTGGAGGTTATTTGCCTCAAAATTATTTTATCCAGATATTTTTTATAGTCTTATAGGTCCTTTTGCTTTTACTGTGGTTTATGATTTCATGGAATGCCTGTGTATGAAGATGTGTGCGTGTGTACATACATTTTTATGTACTTTTTTGAGACTTTTTCTGTTTGTTTTTTTTGGCTTTATCTTATTTAATTTTATAATTATTATTTAGATGTCTCTTTGTTTCCTAAGAAGAAACAGACGGGGAGTGAATTTTCTAGGACTTAAAGTGGGGAGGGTTTTGGAGGAATTGGGGGAAAGGAAATCATAATCAGAATGCATTGTATCAAAAAATGAATTATAAATAATGAAAAATGAACAGAAAAAGGCTTGTATAATACTCCAGTAAAGGATCAGGGGTCTTTGCAGAAATGAGAGCAGACAGTATGCGAGAGTCAGGAGCAGAGGATGACTGCAATGCAGTGGTGTTTTATAGACACATCAGTGAAGTTGCACACGAGCTCACAGTAGTTGTGACAGTATGCACAAGGTCTGTGCAAGCACAACCCAATCAAAATGCCAGCGAGGAGAGAAGTGATTTGAAGTCTCACCTCTCACTAAGGAGTTACTGGGAACTGATAGCTACTAGGAAAGGAGAGGTAATTTTCTCTAAGAGCATGGCCCTTGTTTGGTGGATCACACTGTATCCAGTGGAAGGGTACACATCCAAGAGCGTAGAGACTGCGCCAATTTTTCATTTTGGGTTTAAAATAAAAGGACATATAGGTGAGTCTGAAGGGGAGGGAGGTGGATCTTGGAGGAAAAGTGATAGAAAAGGATGAACACATTGTATGAAATCAAAATATGAAATTCTCAATGAACTAATAAAAATGAAAAATGTGAAACACTTACAGTATCACTATTACCACTCTCAGTTTCTGATTCTGAATCATTTTCCACCTCATCATTTTCCAAGGAAGAAATGCTGATTTTATCCAATTCAGCTTCTATTTCTTCTCTGAGCTTTGCCTCACTGTCATCATTGTCCTCCATAACTCTTAACAACGAAAACATAGAACTTAAGAAAAGAGTCTAATATGCCTCTAAAAAAATATGGGTTTTGTAATTTGTCACACAATCCAACATGCATGTAGACATTTAACTTAAAACCACTTGTATGGTACCATATCAGGCTAGCTCTACATGATAAGGAATGTGGCCTTGCCTGTTGATTCATTCAATTTTTAAAATATTTGAGCACACTATAGCCAAAACTATTGCTATTCTTTCATTTCTTCAAGAAAAATCACATGGGATTAACAGGCTTATCATCCACAAGTAAGAAATTTCCAGGTAATCTTGTCTTTGAGAATACAGTTCAATAAAAAAAAAATGTTGAACCATTTGGCTCTCTACAGATTAAAAAACACCGAAGAGAAAGTCTCAAATCTATTTCTGAGAGCAATCTATGGCTACCTTGAATTCATTGAGTCCAAATTCTAGTGATTCTGCCCTACACACAGGTGCATGCTCTTGCTAAGGCAGCACCCAGTAAGAGATAATGCACAGTGTATAATCTAAAATTTACTGTTTAATTCTTTAATACTTGAAATGGATATTGATTAGATAGTAATATGTCTTTATATCTTCATCATCACCCACCACCTCCATCACCACCACCATAATGATGTCTCCGATGCTCAGGGCTGTGGCAGGCCAAGTATTAGAGAATAAACCCTGAATTGATCTTTGGGAGAAATTAACAGGCTAAAGATTTTGAAGTCATTGTTTACATGAGAACACTAATGTTCTAAAAGGCTACTTAACCATCGAAAACCATTATGCTAATAAATAATGGGGACAGGGCCATGACTCAGAGATGCTGAGCACAAAGTCAGTGATCTTCTCACTATTAAAGAGCCTTCCAAGCAAAAATCATTTCCCCAGGAGTCTCTCTGTATAATGCCTTTTCCAATAATATTGAAAACTCTATGCCATAAATAACCTATCAAAAAGTTAATCTGTTGCTTTTGATAAACATGTTTTAATAATAAAATAGAGTAACATAGAAATCAAAATATGAGTACACCATATATACTAAAGATAAAATCTGAAACAATTTTTAGTTTTGATCTAAGTATTCACATGTCCATGAACATGTGTTTAGGTTGTAATGAATTACATGTTTGCATGCTATTTGGGCTTTTCATTTTATTGGGAGTCCCGGAAGGGGCTGAAGGTTTGAAAATGAACTGGTTGGCTCTCATTTTCTCCCCTACAACAGTCTCACAAATATTTCCTATTCCTTAAGGTCTTAGACGTTCTTGTTCTTTCTTTTCTTCTCCTTTCCTTCTTTTCCTTCTTTTTCTCACTAAACTTGGATTAACTTAAATGTTAATCTATTGCATGCAATCAAAGCCCCATTGTGTGCTTCATTTACGACTGACTGAACAGATCTCGGGATCTTCGTCTTTAAAGTCCAAATACTAAAGAAAATGAAATGAAACATTTGCATAGGTCTTTGTAGGACATTCTTTTTACTACATACTGTTGGAAGAAGACCCGTAGCGAGGCAGTTTCCTCCAACATAAAACTGCCTATCATGCGTGGAAGTTCCTTACGACACAGAACATAAAGAAAGGTATAACATTCCATCCTGAAAGGAAATGTTCTAAGACAGAATGTTCTAAGGGGAAGGGAGACATTCCACCCTGCAGGGAGGGACGCTGAATTCAGTAAGTAAACTACTGGAAGGCTTCCAGAGAGTCCAGTACCAGAATATAGTCACTAGGCTCCTCCCTCCTCAGGCATCTTACCGAGAGGAGTCACTCTGGACAAGGAAAGCTGCCTAACAGAGGCTCAGATCAGTCACCTGGAAGAAGCAGAGAGAACCCGCTCAGCAGCCTGAGTCCAACTTGTTTGAGCTTCCTTCCAACTCTACAGTGTGCTTCATGTTTCCAGGGTTGGGAGCTATGTCATGCTGGAGTGGGTTTTTGGTGACCCAGCTGCCGTTCAGTTAGTTTTGAAATACCTCCTTAAACATATTCCTGTCAGTAACCCCAATAAAGCTAAAACGTTCCTCGAGTTGGATTTTGGTGGTACCTCAACTTTGGTTTGTCATAGGTTCCCCATGTGGGGCAAGTGGGCATTTGTTCAACTCTCCCCAGGAATAGTGTCTCACAAGGAAGCTGATCTTCAAAATATAAACATTCTTCCAATGCCCTAAATCAGGCTTGGGCACCTACTGAATTGTGTCCCACTCTGTATTCCTTGTACATATTGCCTCACCGTACACGTTACTACTATGCACGGCCCTCCACATAATCATGGACTGGTATCTAAAATGCTAAGAGAGGGAAACATAAAAGCATGTTCTTGCCTCTCCTTCAGCTATGGACATCACATATCTTTCTTCCCCATAAATGGTTTCAAAACTTTTCGCTGTGTTGCCCGAGAAATGAGAACTTAAATTTACACCTAGTCAGAAAAGAATTCCTCAGTTAAGATCCTAGTGTCAGTAAATGACCCAAGACGACCTCGAGTTGATAATGAACCACACGGGCTCTCTTCCTGCCTAAAAAAAAAAAAAAAAAAAAAGATTAAGGGACTCTCTCCGCCCTCCACGGTCTGGAACAGGAAAACGTTCTGGGGAAAGTAACAACAGCGAAATCATTACATATGGGTAATAAGGAAAGGGGAAGGTAGATGGGAAGAAAAGAATTACCAGTTGAGGTGGAGTGTGGTCGAGAGGAGTGTGACAGTCTCTCTAACTTCTCAAAAAGAATTTCAACTTTGGAGAGAGCTAGGAAAACCTTGAAAGGAAAGGGCTGAAGTCCTGAGCAGCCCCCGCGCACCCTGTCCTCGAGCCCGTCCTGCAGATAGGGCCGGTAGGTGCTCTGTCCACCAGACGGAGCGCACCCAGGCTGGCGACCACAGCGGACCCTTCGCACGCACCCTTCTCACTCACCAGTGCTAACTGGGCTTCCTGGGAGCCAGCGCCCCCAGCCTCTCAACAAACCGCAACCATAGCAACAGCCTATCCAGAGCCGGCTGAGCAGCCTTTCTTTACAGGTGCCCAAACAGGACAAACAACTTTGATTCTAATTCAGCAAGGTCACTGCATTTTGGGACCGGGAGGAGGGATTCATTTTTTTTTCCTTGTAGGTAGCTATTTTTATAAGTTGGGAATTTTACTAACGACGATATGGCATTTGTTATAATTATTCAAGTAGAGTAGAGGTGTCAGGAATCATCTCCTGGGATAGCTGTATAGACATTGTTTCTTCTACAAAGCTATTTAAAAAGTGATTTGTGAGGCTGAAGTGTGGAGAAGGAACCAATAAATAGTTTGCTGCCGTGACAATAGTTTTTTTTCAAGAATGAAAGAATTATCAGTTGTCAGTTAATGAATTGCTAAAAGTCTTTAATCGCAAGTGTGTGTGGTGTAGCAAATTTGAAAAAAAAAATATTCTGTATCATACGAAAATTACTGTAAAATATTCAGAATCCATTCAATACAAACCCTGAAATTCAATGTGTTCTTTAAAAAAAGGTGGCTAAGTGTCTTTTGCAGAGCAACTATGAGCTTTTATAAAATGCATTATTTTAATAACGATTTAATTTTTAAAAGTTTGCAAATGAGCCATTATATTCTAAAAAGAAGTGTTTAAATGCAACAGTGAAAGTTATCTGCAAGGCGATATCCAAATGCAAACATTTCTTGTGTCTCTGAAAGAAAGCAAACAGACAGTTTGCTCACTGATAACAGTGAGGTTTAATTACACCAACATAACTAAGAAAATAGTGAGAGAGGAGCAGCTATTTTCTACTGAAAAACCACATTAGTACTTTTCCAGAAAGATAATAACTTAACAATCCATGGTTTAAGAATTAATAAATTTAAGGTATTTTTTAATCAAAATCCATGCTCAGCATTCATTTATTCCTTCTTATTACTAATTTATAGACTATTGCAACATTTATTGAAAATACTTGAGTTAGCATATTGAGTTTCATGTGTTAAAAACATTTTAATATTATTTTTGTTTGTAATTATCAAACCCTTGACATTTCTATAAAAACCATTTCTTCCTTTAATAATACATTTCAGCTTACTTTTAAGTAGATAATTTTAGGAAAGTACTGATTTTGAAAACTCCCATACTAATTTGTCAAAAAAATCATATAAAATATATACAAAGCCTTTCTGAAGATGATGATACTTGGAATGTTAAGGGTTTATTATCATTTTATGTTTATGGATCTTGGCCTGCACATATGTCTTTGAACTATGCACATGCTCGATGTCTGAAGAGGGTAGAAGAAGGAGTCCGATTCCCCAGAACTGAAGTGATAGTTGTGATCCTCCATGTGGGTGCTGGGAACTGAACCTGGGTTCTTTGCAAGATGAGAGCTCTTATTCACTCAACCACCTCTCCAGCCCAAAAATAGAGATCTTACAATCAGATGTTTTCTTATGATTAATTTAGAAGAAAATCATTGCTCTAAGAATTAGTGTTAATTAAAATAGAACATTATCTACAAACAGATACAAACTACAACAAATATATAAAACAGCTGCAGGTTAGAAACAGTATATTCTGTTGCTTCTAAACTATGTTTGGTTTAGTAGAAACACCATTAGCTGAAAAAAAAATCTTCCTAGAAAAACATAGCGTCATTTTGAGTATGCTAGTTTAACTCAGCAACCTGTGGGTGGCAACCACTTTTGCAAACCTCTGCTCCAAAAATATTTAGATTATGATTCATAACAGTAACAAAGTTGCAGTTATGATGTAGCAGTAAAGATAATTTTCTAGTTTGGGTCACCAAAACTTGAGTAGCTATACTAAAGTGCCAGAGCAATAGGGATGTTAGTTAAGATCTACTGGTTTAGCTTATTCATAACCTTTTTACCTTGAATGGCTACTTTAAAAAAAATTGAATAGCTAACACTACTTCATTGAATATCATTCCCAGTGTGATTTATGGAAACCTACAAGCCCACTACAGTATATTCCCTTATGAGAACAGGAAGTCACTTATTTGTTAAAATAATGAAAAGATGAAAGAAATCTGCTTGTTACCCAATAGGAATAATATTTCTTTAAAATGATGAATGATGTATTTAAAAGAATTCAAGTAAACCCATACTTATTACCCTGTATAAAAGTCTACTCCAAGCGGATCAAGGATGCACTTCAATCAGACGTACTAAACCTGATAGAAGAAAAAGTGGAGAAGAACCTTGAACTCCTTGGCACAGGAAAAGACTTCCTGAACAGAACACTGTGAGGACAGGCCCTGAAGTTTGACAATAAATGGGGACTCATGAAACTGAGAAGCGTTGCATGGCGAAGGAGCCTGACATTTGAATGTATGTTCAATGTCATATAATCTGACATTTGAACGTATGTTCAATGTCATATAATCCTAGCAGCCTATAGCATGGCAAGAGACGTTTACCAACTACACACCTGATAGAGAGATAATATCCAAAAACATGGAAAGAATCCAAGAAACTGTCAAGACATAAATAACTGAATTAAAAATGACGTACAAATCCAAGCAGAACTCTAAACAGAGGGAAATGACATGGCCGAGAAACACTTAAAGAAATGTCCAACATCCTTAGCCACCAGGGAAATACTAGTCAAAACTACTTTGAGATTCTGTATTTTACCTGTCAGAGTGTCTAAGACCAACGACACAAATGGTATCTCATGATTGCCAGGATGTGGAAAACTCATACTTTGCTGGTTAAAAAATATTTAATTGAAATGTCTGTAAACTTGTTTATTTCCTTATATTTTATAATAAAGTAATTTATAGGCTAGGTAAAAAGTTCAGTTCATCCACTCATTGATTAGTATTAGATGTCCGCTGAGTACTTACTGTATGCTAGACTTGGATGCTATTGTACAGAAGGTTTCTATCTAGGCTAAATACCTGGGAACTTCATGTGAGAAGAGACAGATGAATAGGGAAAATAGAGACAAGTCAAATAGAAATTGAAGAAAGACATCAAAACTGGGATTTGAGTGAGCGGGACTAAAAGAAAAACCAGGCAGAGGTGAAAGGTTAGAGAAACGTTAAGGAAAGCTCCAGCAAGGGACTAGAAGTATGTTAATACTGAAACTAAACAACAAACATTCTTACTTTTAAAAAACGAGTGAAAGTTCAACATTAAACCTTCCATTCTTCAAATGCTTCCCTAGAAAAGACAAGGCAAAGTAACAGCAAAAACAAAACAAAAAGAAAACAAGTCATTCAAGATAGCTTCCTCATAGTTGGAGACAAAGAAATATACTGACAATTAGTACAGAGAAACAACAAGCAAAACAGACCAGAGTCAGCAGAGTTAGAAAGTTGACATCTGAGACCCACATCCAGACTCTCTACAAGAGAGAGTCCAAATGGGATGTCTCCATCAAATTTCTCTTTTAAGAGTTCATTGGACCCCAAGGAAGAGGAGATAGAAAGAGAGTAAGAGCCAGAAGGGATGTACGTCACGTGGAGAACAAGGGCCTCTAAGTTAGCTAAGCGAAAAGCATATGAATTGATAGAGACCAAAACAGAAAGAACACAGACTATATAGGTTTATACCAGGTCCCCTGCATATACACTTTTAGCTTAATATTTTTATGGGACTCCTGAGTGTGAGAACAAGTGAGTCTCTGATTCTTGCACCTGTTTTGGGGCTTTCTCCTTTTGTTGGGTTGCCTTTTCCAACTTCGTTATGGAAGCTTATTTTAATTTATTTTGACACGTTTGGTTGCTGTCATTTAGAAGGCTGTTCTTTTCTAATGAGAGACAGAAAGGGACTGGACCCAGAAAGAAAGAGAGGTGGGGTGGAGCCAGGAGGAGGAGGGAGAGGGGAAACTACAATCAAAATATACTGTGTAATAAAAGAATTTTTTTTCAAAGAAAGGGAAAAATGAAAATAAGAAGAAAAGAAGGTTGATATCTGGTTGACTTTCTAATAAAAACTGTGGTCATCTTTTCAAAGTTATCAATACAAAGAGAAGAAAGGATGTTGAAGAACAACAAAATGGTAATTTTAAAATATCTTCATCTCATTAATGGTGTTTTATATATAAGAATCTTTATAAGTAGTTGGCATGGAAAATGTAATTTATTTTATAGACAGTTATTACAAAGTAGAATTGAGTCTTTGTATGTATTTGAACTTTTATCCCTGAGATTTGATGCATTCATGGGATTTGATTTTATTTCTGGCTCTTATTGGAGTGAAATAACTTTTTAAACAACTTTGAATATGTATGTTTTTTTCTTTCTTGAAACCAAGGAAACAATTTCATACACGATTTTTTCAGCAGGTGGCAGTATTTCTCCAAACTTCATGAAGTATGGTCCACCATCTTACTAAGGAATAAGACTGAAGTGTGAGACCATAGTGTAGGAAGAACGTAAATAGGTAGTCTCAGGAAATATCGCCAAACAAAGGAAATGAGAAAAAAAGAACAAAACTGAACTGCTGTGCTAATTGTGGGTTATTTAGAAATCTGAAGACATCAAAGATAATAGAGCTCGATATAATCACAATGATCATGATATGTGTGTGTGTATCTATATATTTAACAATTTGTTCCCATGACATGGTTAAAACAAACTGTAGCAAACCACAGCTTCAAAAGCATTAATTACTGAATACCTTTCGTTTATAAAATATTTACAATATTTTAAGCCATCTTTGTAATGTGTATTGTTCCCTGTGTCAAGAATTTAGGAGCAAATAGACTGTGATTTTTCTCCATACACATATAATTGTCAAAAGAGAAGCAATGCTTGTTTCAAGTGCAGAGTGCCTGACTTGTAGATATTTGTGACTGGCGACCCTATTCAGTAGCAAAGATATAGAACTTACCTACTTGCCCAGTAAACCACACTGAATCCCTCTACTAACAACATATATGGGTGGCG